ATTTATAATGGTGAAATGCAATTCTGATCAGCTTTATACTTTATACACAAACATACACACACACATACATACATACACACACATACATACACACACACACACACATACATACATACATATATGTATGTGTGTGTATACATACACATATATTTGTCTCTTTCTCTGACAGGGTGAGATAGCTGACAAGAGAAACTAGTGTGCAATTAAGAACTTAACCACTGAAGGTGATTAAGATGCTTTTACAAGCTCAGGTTATATAGTTACATTACATGGTAATCTAGGGTACAAGTCCAATATATCATCAAGTGTTCCAGTACTCATATAGTAGTTACAGAGTTCAGCATACCTCAGCCCAGGAGGGCGAAAGTCAGACAATATGGGACATTCTACAATATAATGTTCAAGTGAGTGCATGTTTTCTCTTTCACAAAGTTGACACATTGTGTACTCGATATTTGGGTTTTGAGAAAGCTGCCAGATACGTCTATATCCCAGGCGTATTCTTGCAACTATGACATCACATTGCCGAGTTCTTGCTCTATTAGTCCCATATGTGAATGTCTCCTCACGATATCTATCATAATATTTAATACTGCAACTTTCAGGTCTTTGTGAATTTGTTAGGTCGGTGAGATCTTCATTAGATATTTGTTTAAGTATTCTCTTTGTTACTGCTAGTGAAACACCCATATCAATTTCTACTACTGGTTTCCTACAAGCTGTCTTTGCAAGCATATCAACAGTGTCATGCCTTGAGATGCCAACATGTGATGGTATCCATAGGAATTTAATTTCAAATCTGTTTTCTTTAGCAGCTAAAAACATTCATTCGAATATCACTGACTATTTTCTGGGTATCCCTACTATGTGCATTCAGTGCCAGGAGTGCACTCTGCGAGTCACAGTATATAAGTCCACTGCCTTTGTCTTTTAAAAATTCAGTGGCAAGGTATATGCCTGCAAGTTCGGTTTGAGTTCTACTTGCCCAATCATTACGCGCTTCATTGCTGTATGTACGAGAGAGGACTGTTCAAATATATTACATGCACATCCGGTACATCGTCCACCTACTTCTACAGAGCCGTCGGTATAGCACTGATACACATTGTTACCCATACTCTGAGTACTTTCAGTGATGCTTTCAGTGTTAACTGTTTTAATAATGTAGAGTGTGCACTATCTTTCTTGGGTGCATTTACAAAATCAACTGATAGATCCCAGTTATCCCATGGAGTAATTGGTTGATTAATCATTAATTGGGTTGGGTACATATTTAAGAATTTGATGGAATTGGCTACCTTGTAGAACCAAAATGCATAATCAGATTTCGCTCTTCTTCTATAGACCTCAGGTGAGTGTAGCATATTAGAAAGTTTTTCTTGAAACTTCGTGTATTGCCTAGATCTACTCAACGCCTTCACGCCGAAAACTGTGCTAATGGACAAAATTCTTTCATTTATGGTAGGCAATTTTAACTCTGCTCTCATATTAACTATTCTCGTGGACTTTGGAGCCCCAAGGATGAGACGCATAGCTTCATTTTGCAAGGTGTCGAAAGATTTCAGCTCTTTGTCTGTATACAGTGTGAGATGTAGAGCATTGTATTCAATCACAGAGCGTATAAATGATACATAAAACATTCTAGTACGTCTCACGTTAATTCCTTGATTGACACCAACAAGGACCCTCAAGGGCTTTAATCTCTCCCAGAGTCTCCTCTTGAGAAAAGAAAGGTACCCAGGGTCGTTAATGGGGACACCAAGGTATCTGTAGGACTCGCAGTTCTCAAATACTCGCCCATCTATATGGTAATTGGCTGGTGGAATACCACATGGAATGAGGGCACGAGTTTTCTTTACAGAGATAAGTAGGCCACATTCCTCAGCTCTACTATCAAAAGCATCGAGCAGAACTTGCATTCTAGGCTCGGAGGCAGCCTGTAAACATATATCATCAGCATAACAGATGACAGTGTCTTCATTATTAGTTGGTAGATATTTAATAAGTTTATGCATCAGAACGTTGAACAACAAGGGACTGAGGACCCCTCCTTGTGGAGTTCCCAGTTCAAAGTGTTTGCTCTCTGTGCTTTTAACACCATTAAACAAAACATATGCTGTTCGATTAGACAAATATCCCTTTATCCATTTCAATAATTTTCCTTGTATTCCTAGCTCATCAAGCTTTTCTAGTATGATTTCCCTGTTTGCTGTATCAAAAGCTGCAGGTAGGTCGACGAAGACTACTTGAGGGGAAGTTTTAATATGAGCGAAGTATTCAGCAAAACAGTGTTGTGTGCTGAGCCCAGGCATAAATCCAAACAGTTGGGGTGACAGGTGCCCCTGTATACGATACATGAGTCGATTAAGGACAATGGGTTCAAACACTTTACAGACACACGATGTTAGAGATATGGGTCTATAATTATCTGAGTGTGGTTTGGGGATGGGAACAATGACACTCTTTGTCCAAGCATCAGGTAATACTACTTCACTTAAACTCATTCTGTACAGCACTAAAAGTGGATTACCTGGTACTTGTGAGATTAATCTCAGTAGACTGTAAGTAATACCGTCCTCTCCAGGAGCAGTTGATTTGCCCATCTTTAGTGCATGATTTAATTCCCATTCAGTTACATCATTAAGATCAGACACGTCAATAGCTGTACAGGCAAGATTGATGGTTCGTTGTCTGTTGGGGCGTGTGTCATTAAGTTTGTGCTGTATGTTAATTGGGAGTGAGGTGTAGCTTGATGTTAGTGCCCATTGATCAAGGAGAATGTTTGCTTGTTCTAGTGGGCTGTGGTGTAGTGGTTTGGTTGCTTCTAGAGATTTTTCGTATCTTTTCCCAAACCTCAACAAGTGTTGTTTGCTCACTTATACTTTGTAGGAACTGTTCCCAATGTTTATTACGTATAACGTTGCTCATGTTTCTCACCTCTCTATTTGCGACAAGAAATGTATGCAAGTCACCTTGTGCTTTGGTTCTTTTGTATGTATCTCCAAGCTGCTTTACTCGTTCATGTTCTTTAACAAATACAGGGTCAAGGACCCACTTGGGTGGTGGTAGGTGTTGCCCACTTCTGCTAGGCTTACGGCTTGTTCCCAACACACCCATGTGTCGTAGTAGGTAGTAATTGTATCAACGAGATCTCTGGAGAAGGCCTGTACATTCGTTATTGTGTAATCTTGATACCATTTTGAAATACAACTAATACTATGCAAACCTTGCAAACCATATGGTTTGCATGGTCATGCAAACCATATGGAATATTCATTTTCCGTCTCTGATGTCTATTAGGTACATCACACTGTACTCCATAGGAAGCAGAAACTACATAGTGATCACTAACCAAGTGATTTACCAACGAACATTCCATACTATTTTGCACAAGGATTCTACCCATTACATAATCAAGTCTGCCTTCCAATAAATGAGTTTAGGTATCCGTAGTATACACAGTTAATCTGTTGTCATAAACATATTTGATAAATTTGTATCCATTATCGTTGTTAGTACTGTCTCCCAGCGTAATATGTCTAGCATTAAAATCTCCCATGTATATTGTCCCATGATTGTCTAGATCTGGGACCAATGTTACATTGAGTTTCTGGCTTCTGGCATATACGTTGAGGAATGAGAAGTGACCTGCTGCAGTTTGTACATGAAAGTGATGGTACTGTGTGTGTACATTGTGTGACGTGCTCACAAGAGTGTGTGGTAAATCACTTCTGATGTATGTTAGTAGGCCTGTGGCGTTGCTGTTAGTATAGGATGCATTGTGTGTGTGAGTGTGAGAGTATGACTGTGTGTGTGTGTTTGTTTTTAGTGACGTAAACAAAGGAGGCACATGAGCTAAAGAGCATCATGAGGCAGTAAAAATACTTGCATCCTGTATATGATGACATTGCATTCAATCAACTCATTCAACTAAGTTCAGGTAGTGTTACCTTTGGTAACAATACCTGTTATATTGTTACCTTTGGTAACAATATAACAACATATATTGTTATATTGAATCTAATGTAACATTAGATTCAGTTCATTCAAATGTCATAATGCATAATGCTACTTTAGGTGAGGTATGTGCCTTAATCTATAGCTATACATACAAATCGATATTATTGCAAAAAATCAGTATGTTTGCATCCCGTCATAACTATAGTATTTCATAACATAAGTATTTCGTCAAGTGGGACACAATTTGTGTCACACTTGAGACAATGGATTTGGCAATTAGATGAACTTTAGATAGAATGTCAGGTGTTTATGTACTTGAAAACGTATAATATTGTACGTATTAATGGTTTTAATTTTTACAAAGTGTAAAATACTACAATCCAACTTATGCATAACTATATACAATCACCAACCATAGGACCTAACTAAGCCTAACCAAAGCAAAACTATGTACTTAAACCATGTTTTAATGAATAAAGAATGAGGCTACCATTTACATCCTAACGTCAATGTTCCTCATTGCATTGCTTGGTCAAGTTTAGTACATACTATACTTTGTCTTATATATACATGTAACGGGTTAGAATGTGCCCTCGACTATATTGATGCAGGAAGTATTTTTGATACTTACTGACAAGCAGGCAACCCGTGTAGCAGCCAAAATCAACAACCTGTAATAGTGCTCTCATAAAGATGTACGTCTCCACATTCGGCGAAGCCACGGTGATGAAGCTTACAATTAAGGAGATGACAGCACTGGTAAGCACACTTTTCCTTCGACCGATCCTGCAGATTTGTAAAACATAATAGGCTTTTGAATTGATGATTTACTTGTATTAGGATATGGTATATATATGTATGACTTACTTCTATTAGGCTATTCAATTATTATTAACTTGTACTATGCTGCTGTATTTACGATATATTTATAAATTATAAAATATTAATGGTTAAATAATGGAAACAACAATAATGCGATGAAAGGAACAACACTTACAATATCTTTACTGCAACACTACAAATATATTTTAGTAATTATATATGTACAGACAGATAAGTTTTTAAAACAAATTTAAAATACAAATAATCTATCAAAATAATTAATGATCCTGAATCTCGCATAATGTTTCTCAGTACTTGGTGGTTGATATTTTCAGGCAATCCAACAAAATTGTCTTAAATATCTTACCCGGCAGTGTTAGAGCAAGAAAACGGAGACATCAGTAGAACAAAATGTGAACATTGTTGGTTGAAACAGTTCATTTGTGAAAGTCTGTTCAAATATACTTGCTATAAGTACAATCATTATTGAAGGATGGGCTGAGAAATTATAAAAGGGAAAATTTATAATTAATTTATTGCATTTGTCTGCAGGTTGCATAAAACGAAAACACATTACTGAACTAAATATATCGGGTTAAGCAATGTAAACAGCGTTGTTAACCTGATATAACACTTAATATCTTTTGGACGTTGTGTATCGTGTAAGCGACGAACCCTGTTTATAAATGTTCACCAAGTTACATATCATGTAAGTTAAGTTTCTGTAAGTTACGTTACCTGTAGGTTATGTTACCTGTAGGTTATGTTACCTGCAGGTTACATTTCTGTAAGTTATGTTCCCTGTACGTTATGTTACCTGTAGGTTATGTTCCCTGTAAATTATGTTACCTGTAAGTTATGTTCCTGTAAGTTATGTTACATGCAAGTTATGTTCCTGTGAGTTATGTTACCTGTAAGTTATGTTACATGTATGTTATGTTCCTGTAAGTTATGTTCCCTGTAAGTTATGTTATCAGTAAGTTATGTTATCTGTAAGTTATGTTGCCTGTAAGTTATGTTCCTGTAAATTATGTTTCATTTGTTATGTTACCAATAAGTTATGTTACCTGTAAGTTATGTTCCTGTAAGTTATGTTCTTGTAAGTTATGTTAGATATAAGTTATGTTCCTGTAAGTTATGTTAGCTATAAGTTAAGTTCCTGTAAGTTATGTTACCTGTAAGTTATGTTCCTGTAGGCTATGTTTCCTGTAAGTTATGTTATTGTAAGTGTTACGGTGCCCTCTCGTATGTCTCCTCAGTTCCAGCGTTAAGAGTCATATCTGCATACCTTGCAGGTTCCCTGAGATGCAGGGAATCGTTTATTATTGGAAGCAGCTGGAAGGAGTATTTGTGGAGAAATTGCAATTTCAAAGTTTTACAGGTAAGGGAGGTTTACGCCCCTCATACATACAAAATGGCGACGCCCCTGCCAATAGTGCGCCATTTTTGTGAGGGCACTAGCGGGCTAGCGGAGGTCACGTGACATGAGTGACCCATCAGAGCCCACCCCGGGAGGCCTGGCTCTGCGCTGGCGGAGGCGCTGAGGCTCAGAGATTCACGGACCTTGGACACGAGCGGAAGTGCATCAGTGAACTCTTGAGATCGGTGCTTTTTGAAGCCCTACCCAGTGAACTGAGCCGCCTACCCGCCAAACACACACCGAAACTACAACGTTGGAACAAGTTTTAACACCTCCTAACCAGTTATAACAACCAATATAGCAAGTTGTAACAACGTTCTAATACGTCATAAACACGTTAAGCCAAGATATAACAACTTTATTACAAGTTGTAACAAGCTGAAAAAAAGACAGTTTCGGTTTGTGTTTCCAGGGTAAAGCAGTCGACGAACGTTAAAGAAGACTAGTGTACCCTCGACGAGCACGAAGAAATAGCGTTCAGTGGGCGAAAGAGTGCCAAGAGCTCATTACTGGGAGTCTTCGACGGAGGTGAGCGGCGACGCTAGAAGGGCAGTGTGAAGCCCCGCAGGTCACGCTCCAGCAAGACGTGCGAGCTGCCGTGACCGGGCCACATCTACTGGAGGTCCAGAAGGGAAACATAGCGTCTGGATCCATTAGAAGTTGTCTCGGTGAAAGAACGTGCGAGGAAAGCGAAGTGTTCAGTGACCACTGGTTAGACCAGTTTGAAAGAATTGAAATCTAGGAATAGAAACGGCGATGACGAGTTACTCCACGATGCCCGAGGACCTGTGACACGCGACCAGAACGTCGAGGGATGACCTAGGAACCGTGTACCTCTGTAAACATCGGAGACCAGGCCCCGGTGAACAGGATTGTTAAGATAGATCATTATTTCCCTCCCATTGTCCCTTGGTAACTAGGCTAGATAGGCCCAGCATACATATATATTACCATTATTGTGTTTCATATTAGGATCGGCTGTAGGTCAGCTCATATATTACATACTGCACGAGGAAGACAGAATGGGATGAGTGTGGCAGAGCGTATGGACGGAGCTGCCACTACCCCCCCCCCCCCACCCAATGAGGGTGATTGATTGATAAAGATTAAGCCACCCAAGAGCCAATGAGGGACCGAGGATCCCTTTCAATTTGCCCAGCTGTCCGAGTTGCCAGACGCGGCGAGAGGAGTGCTGCCAACGTTAACCAATTCATTTACTTATATATATCCATATGCTTATTTTCTTATATGTGTGATGTATATTCTAATTCAGTAAACTACATATCATTCTACTGCTGAGTTTAAGTGCGCCATCCATCTCTTCGAGCATTATATAAGTGATACTATATATGCACCACACTATTATTATTATTATTGGAAATATTCTGTTGACTGGTGACACTGCATAACACTGTATTCGTTGGAAACGTACCACTGTCTGGTGACACTAAGTATAACCACTGAGCTACATTTCTGGGATGTACAGTTCAAACCTAGCTGGCGACCTAAATAGTTGAGTGACACAGGTGTGTGACAGATGACCTGTGACACTCTGTTACGGCGGGCAAGACTCTGAGGAAGTGCTGTAGCAGCTGAAGCAACGACTTGAGGTCAGTACTGAGTTTTCCTTCACTCTTCTGCGGGGTACAAGGCTGGATCGCAAGCAGTGAATCCACCTGTGGAACGACTGGAGGGCTCCCAGGCGATCAGTGGCACCCGAGTGTGTGGGAGCAAAGACTCGCGGAGGTGGTCGTGGTGCTCCTCGTCTCAGGCACCGACACGACGATACCCCCCCCCCCCCCCTCCCGTCGTGTAACATAAGTTATGTCTGGTTAAGTTATGTTCCATCTAACTTATGTTCCTTGTAAGTTATGTTCCTCTTAAGTGTTATGTTCCCTGTATGTTATGTTACCTGTAAGTTATGTTACCTGTAAGTTATGTTCCATCTAGGTTATGTTCCTTGTAAGTTATGTTCCATGTAAGTTATATTCTCTGTAAGTTATGTTTCCCTGTAAGTTATGTTCCCTGTAAGTTATGTTCCTGTAAGTTATGTGTCCTTTAAATTATGTCCCTGTTAGCTATGTATCGTGTAAGTTATATTCTATATAAGGATGTTCCTATAAGTTTGTTCCTGCAACTTATATTCCTGAAAGTTATCTTCCTCCAAGTTATGTTCTCTGTAAGTTATATATCCTTTAAATTATGTTCTTATAAGTTATGTTCCTCTAAGTTATATTCTCTCTAAGCTATGTATCAGGTGCCTTTTAATTATATTTACTTATATTTGGGGGTCTGACAGCTGAGTGGACAGCGCTTCGTATTCGTAGTCCTGAGGTTCCGGGTTCGATCCCCTGTGGAGGCAGAAACAAATGGGCAGAGTTTCTTTCATCCTAATGCCCCTGTTACCTAGCAGTAAAAAGGTACCTGGGAGTTAGACAGCTGCTACGGGCTGCTTCCTGGGGGTGTGTAACAAAAAGGAGTCCTGGTCAAGGATCGGGCTGCGGGGACGCTAAGCCCCGAAATCATCTCAAGATAATCTCAAGATCCTTTAAATTATGTTCCTGTAAGTTATATATCATTTAAGTTACGTTCCTTTAAGTTATATTCCTGTAAGTTAAGTATCTTGTAGGTAATGCTCCTTGTAAATTAAATTCCTGCTTGTAATGTTTCCTATAAATTATGTATCCTGCAAGTTATGTATCTTGTAAGTTATGTATTCTGTAAGTTATGTATTCTGCAAGTTGTATTCTGTAATTTATGTATTTTTTAAGTTATGTATTCTGTAAGTTATGTATCTTGTAAGTTATGTATTGTACAAGTTATGTATTCTGTAAGTTATGTATTCTGTAAGTTATGTATCCTGTAAGTTATGTATCCTGTAAATTTGAATCTTGTAAGTTAAAGTAGTTGTGATAGATTGTCTATCGCAATCCAACAAAACAAACAGCCTTGAATGGACTTTGATCTGCTGCTATTTGATCTCCACTGTAAACGTTTTTTGAATAATTTGTATCACTGTATAGATCCTTGACAACCTGTCCTCCAAAAATGATAGTATTTATAGCCTCTATAAATAGAGTACAATATTTTGTAGTAGTACAAGATATTAGCTGTTGCTCGCACACACAAAATCCACGTTTTGTAACATTTATTTTGTAGAAGATACGATAAATTTGGCAACAACTAAGCCTAACTTTTTCTAGTTATGTACTTATGTGTACTAAACTAGGCCTAAGATTGTGGTTAGCCTGGTATTGCTTATATAGGCCTAGGATAGGTTAGGCTGTTTCAGTTTTAATTATGTCATTTAGAGTTGCAATTTTACAAAGTGTGGACATTTTCTGAGAACAATAGTTTATATTTTGGATATTCCATCCACAGTATTTATACGTACTATAATTTCTGGAGAATGGGGTCGTGATACAGTAATCTACAAGACAGTGTAAAATTATTTTACTCCCATTAATTTTGTTTGTGACTTTTATTAGTTTATTCATCTTTTGTTCACAATCTCAGGAATCTATTTAATGAAAGCAGAAAATCG